CCCCAAAACCCCAAAACCCCTGCATTCTAAGTTTTTGCAAAGGATGCTGAGCATAAATAATAAATATTAAAATGTTAATTAATGAAAATTATGATTCGACAACGCTTCACGGTTCCGAAATTACTAAGATCAGCCCCTTCTCACAAGCATTTAATGATGAAAAATAGTCGTATATGAACCAACAATTAAAGAGTCAAAACATCAAGCACGAATTTTTATACAAGTGGTTTGAGACCTACCATGTTGCAATTGGCTGGATGAAGTATGACTTCTGCAAAGACCTTCTTTTTAGTGACTCATACTTGCTTAAAATACTTTCAATATCGATTCCCAATGAATTTGAACCTTTTGATGAGGAGGAAGAGATACCAAACTTACAAGCTCTGAGTTATCAGTAACAGCACAAGAAAATTGAGACTGCAATTGAGATGAAACTATTTACAGCTTTGAAGGTGTTTTTCAAAACTAGAGAACTTGATCTGACCGAAGTTTTGAAATAAATTAGGATTAAAAAGTAAGCTAACAAGGCTTATGATTACCAAAGCTGGGAAAAAGCGTATTGGCAATTAGCTTATATAGTGTTTACTGCATTTTACATTGAAAATGTCTAGAATGAGTATCTAGAGAACTACTTTTAGCTATAGCTAAGGCAGGACTTGCAATAGATGAAATTGGTGCTTGACATTATTAGCTCGGTACTTCGAAGAACATAATCTCCTGATCTGATCATAGCTCCTAGTCTTAATTAAGTATCAGCTAGTAGCTAAAATATTTTAACTCCTGCAAATCAAAGTCAGTAGAGCATTCTGATACTAGAAAATCAGAATAATGAAGACAGCGAGACTATGGTAATTTCAACTCAAGACAACAATAATAGTAGCTCCTTAATGATGAATGCTACATCAAATTTACATGAATAAATCAGGACCTAAACTTAGATTAATAATCAGCACTACATAGTGCAGGTTTCAGATATTGACTACATAAAAAGGATAACTGAATCATCTGAGGGATCTTAAGGGACTGAAGAGGATGATGAAGATGACCTACTCAAAGAAGATGTTGAGGGCTGGGATGTCTTTGATGATTATCATAAATTTAAACATAGAGAACAGAAGATCAAGGAAAAACGTAAGCTCATAGCTAAATTGTAAAAATAGGAGAGAGAGAAGTAAAAGAATGAAGAAATAGAAATGGAGCAGTCTCGAAACTTTGAGAAGGAGTTTCATGAGCTTGAAGGCAAGCTTAAGACATTGGAAGAGACTTTGAAGAAGAAAAATGAAAGAGAAAATAGTCTCCTTAACGAAATCAATATTTATGAAAGCAAAGTGCAAATGAAGCAAATGGAAGTGGAAGCTATGCAGTAAAAAATGATCTTATTCGAGACTTTTAAACATAAATTTGAAGTTAAAAAGAAGGAAGCAGATCGACTTCTAACAAGAGTAGAGGAGTTATCCTAAATGAAAGGTAATCTAGAGGAATAAATAAATAAAAGCAAAGATAAAACCTACAAACTTAATAAGAAGATCGAGGATCTGAATGATAAGGTGAAATCTTTATAAACTGGAAATGCACATCAAAATGACCTCAGAGACTTTGAACATATTGATCATGCACTAGCTAATCCAGTAACACATGGAAACAGAGTAATTGTACCGAAGATAAATCTAGAATAAATTGATGAAGAAAGCAAAGCTCATCCCTCGCTGGATGGATCTCTCTCAGCGGAGCTTTACTAAAGATAAAATCCCTATTCAAAGGGAAACGGTATGAATCTTTGTCTATAAACCAAACCATCTCTAGATGACGAAGAGTTTTTTGACACTTCAAACTCCTACAGATCTCAATACCGTTTTGAAACAACAGAAGATGAGCTAGTAAACCAAGACGACTATAGAAATGGGTTTTGTAATGACCTAGATCCTGAAAATATGGATTCTTACTTGCTGAGATAAGAATATCTAAGAGAATAAACAGAAAAGACATAATTCCGAAATCTATATCTCGAACAATAAGAACGGTGCTATCACTATTAGTAAATGATGTAAGAATATGAAAGGCTCTACTCTGAGTTTTTAACTAAGTCAATTAAGGCTGAAAAGGAGAAAATGGAACTAATTATCAAATTAAGAAGGGTAAATAAAGTTTCTAATTGTATAACTACTACTATGAGCTCCTTAAATCCAACAAACATCAGAAAAAATATACAAAGAAGCACTAAGAGGTAGCAATTGATTTATAATATAACTGCGCTCTTTATAGGTGTTACTATAGTTATTGGAATCTTATCCATTCTATGATTCTATCTATGGTTGTTAATTCTATTTTTAATAAAGTATTCACTCTGAAATAGAAACTATAAATAAATTTATGTCTTAATTCATCTCTTGCATAATTAATTCTCGAATAATTTCTAATAGAGTATTAAGGGGTTTTGGGGTTTTGGGG